ACATGGTCAGTTGGTCATTTGGTCGTTGGACTTGGCTCAAGGTCAAGTCTCGCGCTAGTTGGTCCGCTCACTACGTGCCATCAGCATATTTAACGGTTGCCTATCCCTCGCCAATTACAGGTTAGTTTGAATAGGGGTCAATCCGTTAGTCTAGACTCTGGGTATGGAGTGCCCAAAGAATCCAATGAACAACGGACTGCGTGCAGAAGGCCTCGGAACCAGGGTACAGCTCGTTGAAAGAATCCCATCAAGGGGGCGTACTCGGTCGCTGTGAGGGCTCGTAATTGGTCGATGGGGATCGTACTTGATCGTTGAAGAAATGTTTCAGAATGTGATAAACTTTTTTCCTCTGGTCGTTGACTTCCGACAATTTTACCTGTTTCTTGTGCGCTCTTACACCTCTCACCCCTATAGCAACGCCGTAAAACCACTATGGACCACTGTTTTGAGTTTTTGATGGTTGATCTTGATTGGTGTTGACGCCCCCCCCCTTTCCCGGTCGACGGCAGTTTTTTAGGGAAAAAACTGGAAATTATCTGGAAGTTTTGGAGAACTGGGGAAACTGGTAGCAGAAAAATGGTGGGAGATTGGAAAAACTCAGAAAGATAGAAGGTAGGATGGCTAAGGGGGGGGGGTGTGGAAGGTGTTCATACTGGAAGAGGGATTTTGGGGGACGTACTGGCACAGCCACCTCACACATCATGATGCCATTCTTAAAAGAGACGAATTAGTCAACCCTTACAACACTTTTGGCGTCTCAGTAAAGCAACAGGGTCTACTATGGAACCGCTTTGGCGAATATGGAAAGTTTCCCCGCTGTTATAGAATGGATGAGCCTGTTAATGGATAATGGAGATTTTGCGCGGGTGATCTTTAGGCACATGATCTCAACTTATTAAACCCGGAACGGACGTGCGCGTGCAGACACACCGATTATCACATTCGGGTAAAAAGTTCTCGGCGCTGATCCAATCCATGTTTGATCATGAGATATACCACCCACTTTGGTTTCAGCCAGAGCAGTCAGAACAGCGTGCAGCATCGTTTTGCGGATCTCATCGTAGGCTCGCCCTTGGCCTCAAGAAAAATCTCTCCCAATTGGTAATTTCCCAACTTCGCGTGCTGCATGCCCCTCCCCTTCAAAAGCGCGGTCCGCGAAATGAAGCGTATCTACTGGAAAAAATGAAGCGTATGTAGGGAAAAGAAGTTGCCAGGTGATCACCAGTGAAGAGAATACGCAAGAAGAAACACCATAATGCGTCCAATAGGATCTCTCAGGCCTCGAGCAATCATAGGAGTACAGGCGAAATAATCGCATATTGAGACGAGTCCGGTCAGCTGATCCTTACGACTTCTACGACTCCACAACGATAATGTATCCTCCATTTCAAGCTGCTCAACCGGTTTTTTCGCTGAGAGGCCGAGTCACCGGAAAAAGTTGGTTTCATGAAGCAACGTAATGCCTTATCGTCTTTACTTCGCAACTTTCCGCCGCGAAACTGATTCGAGACTATCCATCACGAACCTCTCTACCTTTGTACGCAATTTTTCACATTCCAGTAGATTACCGCGGACCAGGGTACAGCATCGTGATGTTGTAAAATGGTGGCCGTATCAGATACGACTCTCACATGCAGGTATGTATATGGAGAAGGCGAGGTGTCGGCGTGATCCTACCCCCCGCACCCTCCTCACGTTCCCATTAACCCTGCTTACCAATCCCCAACATTTTCATTTTATTCACCAGAGCATTCCATAAGACCTCTCGCCACATCCTGACTAAAGCAATGCCTTGAAAAGGCGATGTCGTTCGGGGGCGTGGTGCCGCTTTTCAGAAAACGTTTTTAAGTATTGTAGCGGCCATGCGAGACCTGAAAGTTGCTCCTTCACTTTTCGGCTGCGCGCTTCAGGATAAGGTAAAAAACGAGTGAAAAGAAATCTTTGTAATCTGTTTCGTTTTGGGCCTCTATGCGGCGTAGATCACTTGCAACCTTGATCAGTTGCTGAGTGGGGGTCCTTATAAAGGAACTATTTAAATCGAAGCGAAAAATCGCCGCAAGTACCTGCGGGGGCACAAGGGGGGGGGGCGGTTGCTATCCCCTCAGCGGTCACGTGATCAAGCGGTGAACGGCCTCTTGCAGTCGGTTCTCATCAACCATTACGCGCGCCTGCAGATGTAGGATCGGAATGGGACTATGAACTAGAGTGGATGTCTTCGCAAATCGCCCAGTGAGGGATGGGCGTTAATGTTCGTGCTCCCCTGTGTCTACGACTGCATTTTGATTTTTAGATTTCGCGTGTTTCTTCGACTCTCCATTTGCTGCCTGCGCAAATGAAATAATAGCTCGGATTTCCATCTTATGGCAATATTCTGAATGTATAACCTCATGAGTCATAGCTAATTCATAACTATTTGATTTTCAGCGACCACCAAATAAACAGGAATAAGTTGTGAACGTATCTTCATTAGGCTACACTGGTTATATCTGATCCTAATATAGTACTTGTGTCGTCGCTCAATTATTAGCCATTTGGTCCCGAGTAACATCTGCTTTCCACTGATATTTAATCAATACATATACAGTTGACGGATTCAGCGATATTGTGGCGGCAAATTGCATGGAGTTCAAGAACAGGTGTCATAGTCGCGATCAAAACCGCTGGATACGCCTACAAAGCAAATTTTTGGTCAGAACAATTGTTTCAACCTTCCTGGGTTTGCTTACTGGGTTTTCGGGGGTCCGCAGCGTCATCAATACGTCATCGCTGTCACGAAGATGTGAGACTCCGCCCACACTGCCGACCAAATGGTCGGTTCCTGTCAATACCGAAATAGGAAACAAAAAATTTTTTTTTTTGCTTATAACTCTCCTAGGGCTAATCGACTAGTCCTTAAAGCACCGATTCTAGATTTAGTTTTTGACGGCCACGCCACTCTCACAGCGCGGATCAGCGGCCGAAGACGCTGGTCGTGAATACTAAATCGAATGCGAACGAAAAGCAGTTTATGCTGCCACAAAATAGCGAATTGTTCAAGTTCATCTGAATGTTTGACGTTATGCGGCAAAGTATTTAGACAAACATGGACCCAAAAGATGAAAAATTGTAGAAGAGCAAAATCTTGTCCTTGTTGGGATCCGAACCATCGACATACTTTTTTAAATAATTTTTTATTCCTAGAAGCGCGCAGCGAAAATGAACCGCTGTTTTCTGGTCTCGTATGTTGCCCTTACAATATGCATCAAAACCATTATTGAAAAGTCACCAACGCCTTAACGCCTTCCCTTGGGCGTCATGTCGTTGAAAATCGCCTCATCTCTAACCACCATGCCCAGTATACCTTTAAAGCGGAATACTTCCGGCCGGAGGACTTCCTGTCCGCAACTTCTCGTACTCAAACTATGCCGAGCATTTATTAGTGAGTCCAAACTACCCTAAGACAGTTTTTTTTTATGCTGAGTTTTTAGTTTTACTTGAAATAATCTCGCTACTTAAGTGAGCTATTCAATGGGCTGGCACACTATTCTAACAGCTATCAGTCGATCCGACGCCATTCTAAATTGCCAGCGTAAGGTACGAAGTTGAAGGGCGGCGGGGGGGAGAGGGGAAAGGTGGTGGAGGCTCTTCGACCCTCTTTTACGGAGGGTGTTCACACTGACACCATCTTTTCACACATCACGATCATGTTGAGGATCGGAAGCCGTTCTTTTTGTATTTTTCATAAAATTCTTTTATGGTCTTCTTCAAAATTCTTTCACATCTTCTATTCAGTACAATATTTCATCCAACAGAGCACTCCCAGATATCTATCAGCACTTTATTTGACTGATAAATTATGCGATATGCAGCCATTAAAGTCTCTTTAACAATATGTTCCAACAGTATGACAATGCAAAATTTGTTCATCAGTCCGAACAATGTTAGTCATTATTGATTAAATAAAAATTCCATCACCAAAGAAATATCACCATCAGAACAGAGAACGAATTCTCGCGAAACTCCTTTAAATACACGACAAATAATTTATAAATCTCAAAGAGAAGACGTTAGACGACCAGCATCTGGAACTTTTCACTCAGGTGAATTACTACTGACAGAAGACCTTCAAAAAAGTTAATGTACACTGTATAGTTGGTCCGCGACTGGCTCTTCTCCAGACGATAATAAGGACAAATTCCGCGATCGCAAGGCTCGGGTAATTGGGTTAAAATGTGAATTGGTGTGTGCCAACTTACTTACCACTAAGAAAGAAAACAGAGGAAACGCATTTAATAAGACCCTCCATTTGCGGTTAATTTCAAGCATTGGTTGGGTGTGCGAAAAAGCGAGAGGCCACGAAATATTGAGCGCGCGGAAGAGAGAACAGTGAAGTAGAAGGAGCATAGTGTCGTGCACACCTCAAAAACGTGAAAAAAATAATGCAGCAGTGATAGGAAAGGGGACAGAAAGGACATCATGCAACCGGAGCTCACGGCGTGGTTGCCAAGTATTTTCGAGCTGCGAAAGAGGAGTACGCTCTGCGGCGGCGGACTTGCCAACTCACGCGAGGGAAGCATCCATTCTACTAGGTAATCGAGGAATACGCCTTTGAAAAAGACGGACGTTTCACAAAGGTTTCCCTGTGGTTGGACCATTGATTCTACCACAGAATGGATGGAGCATGATATTCTTCTTCTAGGTGGGAAGCGTAGCAACTCTGGGAGAGCAAAGGAACGCCACAAGGGAACGGTACCCACCGGAGGCGACGTAACCCCGTAAGATTTAATTCGCTGTGTCTCTTCACTGTCGTGGATAAATTTTTTTAGCTCTAAATAATACCACAGTAAACAACCCCAAGTCTCTGCCCTCTTAGATATTTGGAATAAAAATCGTTATGAACACTTTTGAGAACAACTACATATAAACATAAAATGCGGCTCGTCCTTCTCCCTGCAGAGGTGATAAAAATTTGGAAAATGACGTCCAGGAGGACAGAATTACTAGTCCGTGTGAAGGCCGAATCAGCGCACTGGATTACTGACAACCACAATTGACTGCTGTAAAGCAATTCCAGCCAGGTATTGGCACAGATTTGCCATCACGATTGCAGCGTGTACGATGTTCTTCGTCGCTGCATCGTCACGAGCTGCCGCCTCAGATTCGACCGCGGGCCGCGTTGTGACTGTGGTCCTGAAACAAATGAATGTTTTTCGAAACAGATGCAGTAGGCCATGTACTTGCGTATCCCGTCTACGCTACTCCGTCTGCTGCGGATTTGGTCCTTGCATGTGCGGCCTTTTGTCGCCGCAGCTGGTGGTCACGTGTCATGCTCCGCCTCAACGTCTGCAGGCATAGCAGTTTGGGACTCGGGGGATATCTCAATTTTGCCCCTCCCCCCCCCCCTCTCTCGGCGGCACCTTTTGAGTCGCGAAAAAGCAGCTCGGCTACTATAGCGGCGGAGTCGACTCACTCCTGCATATAGTCTGACAGTCCTCGGAGGTGAGTGTAAAGTTAGTTTTTAAGTGCAGTTTCGTCGAGTATAGATGCAGCTGAGCAAGGATTTCGTACCTGATTCCATGTGATCTCCTTCCAGACGAGCCAAGGAGTGGGGGGACGTCCAGTGAGTAGGGGTAACGGGAGCGAAGGCATCTTCTCGCGGGATTTCTTTCGATAACCTTCAAAGGTAACTGTTATAGTTTATGGCTTACCATCGCAGAGCCGGCTGCGCGGCTCTCTCCTTCTAGATACGACCGGCTTTAGCGGGCTAGTGCGACGTGCGCTCGCGATTTTCAGAAGGAGAGCCGTGGGCCAAGCCGGATTCCAGGATATATGAAAATGTTGCGCCGGCAGAGCAGCCATCCGACTAGTATTCTCGATCAACATCGGTCGATCAGCCGCAGTATAGACTCAAAAAATGTAGTAAAGACGACAATTTATCAGTGCTTATCAAGTGATATCAATGTTTCACCTGTCGTCAAGGTCCCTGCTCCATCCGCGGAACTACCGATTTTTGTGTGCGGGTGTGTAAACAATATCGCCTCAAAGGGAGACGATGGTTCTATTTGCTCGTGGTTGATCCGAGTCCGTGTTCTAGTCGGGCTGGTATTCTTCAGCGGTTTTCTGTGTATTTTCCTAGTCGTGTTGCTGCGCGACCCGCGCGTCTTATGACATTTGGGCGAGCTTTCCTCTTCGCGATTCTATCAAAGTGATAACCTTCTGTTACCACAAGTGTGTCCGTCCTAGCTGCTTGTGCACTGCTGTTGGACTGTTCCTACTACTGCGACGTAGCTTGTGCTAGTAAAACTTGTTCGGGGTGAGGGGATAACAATACATATATTAACTTACTTTGACTTACAAACCGACACCACGAAGTTACTGATTTTAGCATAGGAAGGATGTATCTGTGCTCGTGTTACTCTTTAGCGACTGAGGCTCGGGTGATGTAACCATCAAATGTTCGCGGTGCCATTTTCTTCTGCCTCCGGGGTCTGAGGGCGTTCGTAGGGCTCTTCCAAACATAAACGTCAGGGCCTTCATGTTGGCGGCTGCAGTGTCGACTCGTGCTTACAACTTTGGGTTATGTACCTGGAATACGAGATCGTTAGAAAGATTGCCCAAAGGATTAAACTAAGCAAACGCTGCATTGAAGCGCACAAGTGGGTAACTGTCGGATCTAGCTGTCCATCAGGTGCGGCAAAATTGCTCTATTTCATTAAAAATCACGTGGCAGTCAACTGCCCTGTGACTTTTTTGGATATGTGACAAAACAACCGCAATACGCCGTGCTGAGCGTTGCGGGCGACGCCGCGTAAGCGAGAGACGAGTCATCCTGCTTGACCGTTTGAGGATGTGTGCGCAAAGGGGCGGGAGGGGGGGGGATCGATTACTAGGCATGAGCCCTTACCCCATTCGCACGATTTTCGCTTCTCCAATCGATAAACTGGTACATCGAAAATTACCGCGCGAAGTTGCACTTGTCGCCGCGCGCGATGGCGCGGCAAGTTACGGTTGTCTTGTCCCTCTTCCGATTTTTCTGCATCAAAACGTGCGCGACAAGCCAACAAGCGCTATAAACCCAATGCGTACAGATAATTACCTTGAGTAAATCAGGGACTTTACTATTGGCGTTAGTATTGAAAATACTGGCTACCAATAGCGGTTGTGGATATGCTGCTAACGAGCACAGTACATTCGCCAACTGCAAGTTGAAGGCAAGCGAATGGTCCGACATTTCCTCAAGTTGCGTCAGCAAGCATTCAAGGAGAAGGGAGCTGTCTGAAACATGGCCTCTTCATAACTTGTTCTTCAAAGTCAATACGCACACAATGGATAACGCTCTGGACCCACCTGCTCCACCTTCGATCGGCTGCCCATGTACAGGTACCACTGGTTCCCTTTCCTTCACTGTGGTCTCATTTTGTGGAGCCTCCGTCTTTTCACTTTCCATCTCTCTCATGTATTGCAGCTTTGAATCAATGAAAGCCATAGTTTCAGCTGATGACATCTTCTGTTTAGTGGGAACAGACCGCCGATCCAGGAGAGATATGAAGGTGTCCAGATCCTGTAAAATGCAGAAATACTCAGAAAAAATGCTTAAAAAATTGAAACCCTGGTTTAGCGACTGCTACAATAGTTTTTGAAAGGTTCAACCGTTTACCTCTACATCAGCCCATCCACTAAGCACAAATGACCTCGCCATTTCCGCATCGGTATCGAACCCTTGTCCAGTTGCTGCTGATTCAGGCTCGGAGATGGAATCCTGTTTCTGACATGAAATCTTCTTTCCAATGACTTGAAGGTCTTGATCCTGAACCTTTTCAATGACAACATCCAATAAGCCATCAGCAACCATAGAGACAAAGCTAGAGAAGTTGGGGGAAGTCTTTCCCGCTACACATTGGCTATAAACCCCTCCCCCCCTCCACTCGACGGAAGATCTTTCGGTTGAAGAACTGGGAAATGTGGTAGGTAGTTAGGTATGTGTTGGGGAAAAGGGGGGGGGGGTCGTACCGAGACTCTCCCTCAAGAGGGGCGGATCTCGCACCGACACCACTATTTCACACATCACGATGTTGTACCCTGGGTGGAGCAGTGGCGAGTGGCACGCGGAATGGGTGGGCTCTAAGCGGCAAATCCCAGATCGGCTCCTGCCCAGGCCAACCTAGCCTTCCACTTTTCCAGAAACGGTGAATCGGTACTAGATTGCTTCAAGAGGATAAAAATGACTGGCCGCCATGACTTTACGTCAACTGGCCCCCCCCCCAAGTCATTGTAGAGGTCACATCGCATTCAACCAGCCACTACAATCTTGTATGGAAGAGGAACGCGTGCCGCATCCCAAAAAGGGATGATTAACGGCCAAGACTTTCCCTTCACCCCAATCCTAAAAGGATTGTAAAACTTATTCGATGTTCGGGTATGATTCGATGCGCTGATTTGACAACTGGTAGCAGCGGACATTATATACTCCATATCCCTAGGAGGGGAAAGGCGTGGCTGTGTACTTCATTTGAACATGGCATAAGATGCATTCTTTGTAGGTTATTTCCATGTGAGACAACTCTCATCCCGTCTTGTGCTGGACAAGAACATGAGTACAGTTATACCACAAAGGCAATACTTCATCAAAAGAGCAGCCGCTGTCATGTTCGAATGAGATGCTGCCACGCCCTCCCCATCTCCGGGATATGGACTGTAACTGGACCGTATCTCTCAAGCCAACTATGCAGCGTGCATAAAAGGCCATTAGACAATTATATCAGAGCAAATAATAAAATCAAAACCAATGGATGTACCTTTCGTTCAGAACTACTTGGAGACTCTTCACTTTCTGACAAATCATCACACAATTGGAAGTAATCGACCATGGATGAAGACATGATGGATGAGGTGCTGGAAAAAGGACCTCTTTGAGCTAATATACGGTCGCGATCCCTGGAAACCTCAGGACATGTAATGGGAGATGGATTGGGAACATGTAATGGGGGGGGATTGGAACGCAGCCTGATCAACCTTCCCACCAACTGCAGCGGACTCAGGATGGCATCATTGGTAAAAAAGGCGGTTCAAGCTGCATTTTTATCCACGCCACTTCACGCACCCATTCGTTCGCAGTGATCATGACTGTCTCGGAAACCAAGCTCGGCGTCGAAAGGAGAGCGTTTACGGACTTGGTTCTGAGCGCAACAGAAAACGCAAAGGGGGGGCAGGGGTGCATCAAGAATCCCTTGTGCCTTTGTCGCTCTTCCATGCTCCACGTCTTCATACGAGAGGCAACTGCCTACCGTTGCTATGCTCACAACAAGGTTCATGGACACTGCACCTTTTGACAGCGAAATATGGACTGCATTAAAGACAAGCCGTACATTACAAGATGGTTCTCTCCTGTGTGAAGTGGATCGTCCCGCGGCTTAGTCGCGTGCCACTTTCTCCACTCAAACGTGCACAGAACGAAGTGAAGGGTAGTGTACCCGGTTGCTGTCTTATGACTCTGCCCATGCTATCCTGCAGCACATGCGTCGATACTAAAATTCGGCAGCGAACACGCAGTCAGCGATAAGAACAACCAAAAAAGGGTAGAGCGCAGGCAAGTAGCAAGTGGATATGGCTAGGCATAAGGCAGCGTTCAGACTTTGCGACGGCAGCGCTTCGGTCGCGCGTTCGACGCGATCGATGCGCATGCTTTCGACTGCATCGATTGCGTCGAACGCTCTAACGCTGATCAAAGCGCTGCTGTCGTAAAGTCTAAACGCTGCGTAAGGTGGCCGTACAAAAACTCGGGCGGGCTCGGTAGACGAAACTCGGTAGTCGTCATTCTCAAACTCCGATCTCTACATTTTGAGAGGAGAAAGTGGCTCACTACTCCAGTGGGGACCTCGCCCATGGCAAGGACCAGGAAACACGTATTTGATTACAGTTTGTTTTGAAACGGTACAAAAAAAAGAAAAGGCACAAACTTGATCGGTGGAAGAATGAATTCGGAATCCTCTTCCACAGGACTTACACTACCATCAAGAGAATGAGATGCGGATCCACCAAGCTCAGCAAGGAAACCTGTGCGTGCTTCACATATTGCATAATTAGCCTCATAAGAAATAGAATTTAAAAAATTGATTAACTCACCACCTCCTAAAGTGGATTCAGAAGTGAGATGGGAGTTCTTCGAGGCGAAATACCTGTTCAGGCCGAATGATGCTGACGACATGGACGATCTGCACGATGACAAACGGGTGAACGGCTGTAACATAAGCCATCGAGAAAAATCAGCAACATATGTACTGTACTGTATACAAAGAAATTAATGGTTTTCTGAGCCACTAGGCTAAGCGAACAATTCATGTACATTAAGGAAGCGGGATCGTTGGGGGCGGGCGGTTGTCGTCAAGGTCATTGGTGTAAGGGATAGGTGAGGTGTAGCCAAACGCCCTCTCGCAGCCCTTCCTAGCTCGAAAGCTTCTTAATACGTCAACAGCTTTTCTAGATGCGCTACGTACCGCAAAGTAGTAGTAGAATAAAGTGCCTCAATAATCAGTCATAAGAGACATACCGTATGTGAATTCGGTTCCTCATCACTGTCACCACGAAAAAGCACCGGGCTCGGAGTCACTCCGTCATATCGCCACTTCCACGCTGTACAAGAGCGAACTCGTCGCTCCACCAATTGTGCTCCTTCGTGCATGTACAAAGCCAATGTATCCTCCGAACAAATCTGAAACGGGGGATGACGGTCGAACACCACATCGACGCCACATGAGAAGACCGTGCTAGCTTGATATACGACATGCAGTATAGTAGCGGTACGCAGTACAGTACGCCTCATATGGGCGAACTTACTCACGAACATGCCGCGCCACGACTGCGTGCCTGTCAAGTGAACAGGGTCACTAGGAAGAAAATTGGAAGGGTCAACACCGAATAACTTGAATGTGATTCAAAAACGCGATAATTTGACAAATTTCTCCATGAAAAGCTGACCTCAGGGAAGCTGAGCATACAGATCGGTACACATTCCAGCAGTTTTTCAGCAGACGCTACAGCTTGAGCACGATCGCGCACTTTACTCAGTTGGGCACGTGTCAGGTTCTGCATAGACAGTAGATGCCGAAGAATTAGTACTGAAACAAATTGTTTATCAATGGCAATAACATCAATTGTTGACACCACACAGGATTACTTGTGTAATAAACAATTACAAACAACAACAATTACAATGCATAAACAGTTTGAGGTCAGCTGCCTAAGCGGGATTATTTGGCTCACACTCATCGTTAGTGTATCTACGGGCCTGGAGAAGCCTTGGCCAGATACCCCTGTCTAAACACTTATCACCAGTTAAGCCAGCAATTCTGCTTCTAGAACTCACATAGGTATTCATATACTACTATTCCAAATTGAAGTCGAATACATGGCGCATGCATAAGTGACATTGATTACCGCCGACTTATTAATTTTTGGCTTTCAGCATAAGCTCTACTGCTCTGCGTGCTCTCGAACTCGCATGAAAGACAGAATCTCAATAGAAACTCCGGAGACGACTGCTCCAGTTGGAACCTCACCTCCTGGCTGAAGAAGGGATCGAATTGTATTGGCATCTGCGGATTAAGATTAGTGGGTTCAAATCTTCAAAAGTTGTGAGTGACTTCTACACTTCGGTAAAAGCAGCCTTGGCACGCTAAGCTACCTAACCAAAAGGAACCCGCGGTAGCCCAAGACTGGAAGGCGAAGACTAGGGCCACCGCTTTCCCAGCGTCCAAGGTACAAGGTCAAAGCCCGAGCGAAACAACGACTCGTATAATCTTGTTCGCCACAGTTTCTAGGGGAAGATGGGAGGCCGTCGCGCGGCTCCAGTGTGTTCTTCACCAACCGTCGAAGGGGGCAACCGACAACATTTGCAAGGATTCAGCCAAACCCTAGGCAAAAATGACACAGCAGCTTGACGCCAGCTTGCAATTAAGAGGTCACCAATTGTTAACAGATTCAGATAATAAATTAGGAGAAATACTCAAAAAAAAGTGCAACACGGATCTCACCTAGCATTAGATCTTCGCAGCCAATCTGCAGAAGGGAATCGAGAAGAGACAGTGAAACGACTCCAAGCTGGAAAGAATGTTCGGTTGATACATAGTGTATGCCGCAAAGCGACCGCGCGCAGCAACACTTGTTGCTCTCGTATACCTCATATAAGTATAGGAAAAGTATCTGAAAATAGCCGTAAACAGATTACCTTATCTCCATTTGCAATTCGGCCTACTATCACTTCGATAAGTAACCGGCGCTCATCGTCTCTCTCCAACAGAAGCATTCTGATGACCGTGCGCAGGAGAGATGGTTCCGTGACTGTTTCTATACACAACTGGAGATATACCGTAGCCGCCGCGACACTTTCCTGCTCATCCTGAAAGACCTACAGTAGGAGTAAGAACAAATGGGTGTACCATATGATGCACTGACAAACAAAAAGGCACCTGCAGAAGTGCTGGCTTCACAACGGAGATCAGAAATCCCGAATAGAAGAAACTGCATATCTGCTCAACAACAGCAGGATGTGCAGCCTTAAGAAAATATTTAGATATTGACAAGCTCGTGAACGAAGCGATCAAAGCGACCCTCACCTGAACAACTGCATTACAGAAAAGTAATGAGGAATGAAAATTAGCGAGTGATTCAGCCGTATGTTCAGGAAGAAACCTCTCCACTCCATCACCAGCAATAATACGACTTAATTGAGAGAAACATCCAGAAAGACCAGTAGCAACCACAGGACAAAAGGCACTCTAAACAAAGACTAGTTTATTCGAAAGGCCATTTCCAGCACTCATTTAGTAATCAATAAAACGAACTTTATAAGCAACAAATTCCGCTATTTGCTCATGATTCGCTGATACGGAGAGGATGAGGAGAAGAGCATCACGAGCCAACTGGCCAACATCGTTCTGAAATTTTCGTTTAAAGGACCTTACAAAGACCTTACGGCAACAAAAGCACAGCAAAAGATCTGATTGATCTTCTGAGGATATCTGTTCTCTTGCTCGGCACGGCAAATGTTGCAAAGGGGTAGGGCAGCTCCTTTCCACCAGAACTGGGATCTGGGAGTAGGTTCGAATCAACACTTGGGGGAAGGGGGCTATTTGGCCGTCGAAGGGGGGAGGGGAGGAACCGTAAATGATTTAGCGAAAAAAATACCCAAATGTTGACTTTTCGCAAACTTCTGCTTTACGTCCGCTACGCCTATATACCCCGCCCCTCCCCGCCCAGCGGATTTTCTTTGGGGCGCAAGCGGAGGAATTTTCGAAAAAAGAACTTCGTGGAAGTGATAGGAAGTTTGAAAAAATTTTGGAAGATGGCAGATAGTGTGCAGAATGGGGATGGAGGAGCGTGGTACTAAAGCAGGAAATTTTCGAGGGGGTCGTACTTTCGTACGAATTTTTCCGCGACGGCAGAACGTGCACTGATTTGCTTATCCCCACGGTAACACTGGCTCTCCAAGTTCAACAATCGTACCTAACTTGAATTAAACAGTCAAAAAAAGGAATAAGAAATTACCTGCTCGTACAGGTACGGGATGAGGAGCGAAAAGACGACAAATTGGTCAGCACCCTCTGCACATGAGAAGAAGAAATGTAGTAATGTACGATCTTCAGCTAATTTTGTACAAATCTAAATTCATCTCAAATGGGAATAAAAACTGCACCAAATAATTTTCATAAGTAAAAACGGGGCACTTCGGCGACGGGGGGCATATTGTACGTTTGCTACATGCCAAAGACGTGGCGACCCTCCAGAGAGCCATTCCGCTAGTTGCTCCAGCTTTAAAAGAGTTCATAGGTTTAATCAGAGTGAGTTTTCTAAATTGGAACTAGGAACTAGTGAAGCCGCGAAAGTGCAAAACGCCCGCTCCCCCGTCGGCGAACTGCGCCCCAATCTCAGCGTTGAGTTCTTCTACTGAAAGCCAAAAGCACACTCGCTTACCTGATTCAAAAGCACAACAAAATGTTTCTCCGTAGCCGACGGATGTCCTAATTTGTTGGGCCGGAGTCCTTCTGCACGTTCACACCTTTGCAGATACGAAATGTTGTTAGTTGAGCTCATCGAAAACCAATAATTCACGAACCAATCAAACAGCCGTAGCAGCGGATTTAGGATCGGTTTATGAACGAGAAGGCAATGATTCTGAGTATGACTCTCCGAGACGATCAGCTCGTATATTCGACCAGAGCTAACTGTAAAACATTATATGGCGCTTCAATTACAATAAACGCCACTTCAAAGCCTTAAGATGAAAGAGGGGAAGCTCTCAGCGTTGACCAATCCCTCCCTGATATGCGCCACGCTCTACTGCCATTCGAAATAACTAATGACTTTCGAATGTAATTTGGTCCATAAAATGACTTCCAGAGGCCAGCAGATCTACAACGACGGCTTATAACGCTGCCCATTATCAGTCAGCCTCGCGGAGGCGGCGGAAAGCTTTGTCGACATACTAACCAAGTAGTACTGCCTCTCTCCGTCAAATTACAAATCAATCCTGGCTCCGATCTTACCAAATTTTCGCCCAGAACTCATTACCTCAGCATAGAGGGGGAAGGTGACCTGCCGATCGGCTATTAGAAATGACAGTTGTGCCACGCCGGATCCCACAGGAGGAGGGGATGTTCCTTTCATGAACCCCTCACAGAGGAAAGATTCACTGAAGCTCCAGCTCGAAGCAAGAGGGAAGATTATGTTTCGCTCACTTCCCGTCCAAAAGGATTTTGCGGACCAGAAGCTCGACTCTGCTCAATATTTCGCACTGGTTCGATTTTTCAACGGTCAATGAATCTCGTTTTTAATGTTTTTTTTTCATTGTGCTCATTGAAAGAGATTAATCACGCCAATCAATTTTTTCACTCAAAGGAACTAGTTAATGGCGCCACTCGACCCGCCCACGCGCGCCCTGGCTTCAAGAAATCAGGACTTGAGAAATCGCCCAGTCGGCAACCATTTTCCGATTATTTGATTTGTAAAATATCTATCAGAATAGGTGCCTACCTCGCGCACGGCTCTCCCCCGGTTGTGCGTGAACCTTGTCCAATCCATTACAGCTGCAGCATTCGAGTCAGTTGAGCTACCAGATTGGGTCTCCATGTGAACAAATGGCAATAAGAACTTCAATAAAGAAACGAAGGTAATCGTCAAGTTAAACTTCAAAGCGCAAAGATGAAAGATAAGTATATCACCTCGTTATAAGTAATATCATGCTCTGGATCCGACTCGGCTTTCTTTCCGAGGTAAATTCTCCCGCCCACATTCCACACACTCGACCGAATTCCGCTTCCCTATTCAGAGGGATCGGCACGCGTCACGCAACTGCTCCCCGCTCTCTGATACCAGACTTCTGGAGAAATAGCAGCAATATCAACACCACCATACCGCCACATCGAATCTTATCAGTTAACAATACTTTACGAGGTGACTCGCTGATTGCCGATGAGTTCGGCGACGGGCTCGGTGAACCCAGTCGTGACAACCACCGTATCATTGAGCCTCACATGCAATAGGGCCTAGGAAAAACCGTATGTATCTAAATTTGAAGGCCACAGCAAAAATAAAACAGTCAGAAAGGTAACTATCAGATCGATAGAACTGGTTATAAGGAGCGGACGCAATTGTAAAATAGTTTATCAACAAGAACATCAACAATCAGAACTGTCACAACATCAACAATTAATAGAAGGGTAAAAGACAAGTGTAATATAACAAATGTGTAATAAATGGAGATCACTATATTTCAAGAAGATTATTCAAAATACTCAGTTTAGCTGGATGATAGTATTTCGAAGTTGAGTTCCTGAGTAGAACAATTCCACCATTCTTACGCACATCTTCAAGTGTGCATAGAGGAACGTAGGACAGAGCTCGACCACAGGCTGCGTAAAAGGAGAAGTCACCGCGTACTATTCGACCAATAATCAGTCTGAAATGACAAAAAGTCGTTGAGTACTGCACTGTTTGGTGTTGAAGGGGAATGCGCGCTTCGCTTTCACTGATCGCCCAGAGGGATGGGTCGTATCAGTACACACACCCTACACCCAACAAGCTTCAAGATGTAAGCTTGCTGCTATTGTTTTATTATACATTTACTAATGAATTCGTTTGAATACACCCGATAGAGTGCCCAGACCTCGATAATTAAACTTAAAAAGCAACAAATGGCACAGTGAAAAATGAAGAAAAAAAAGCATAGAAAAATAAACGAAAAAATGATAGA